TGGACATACATACACTGTGAACACCATTTCAAGTGTGAAAACATTATGACTTTTTTATAATTTTCATATATTTAAGACAACCTGATATACATCATAAAACAGTTTCACTCCTATTTACTTTTAAAAAAATGTACACTACATTTTATAATCATATTTAGCTCTGTTAGACCTAAATAACCACTAGCATTCTGAATCAACACAAGATAGCCTTATAAAACTGACACCGACGCTTAAACCGCCACCATGGCTTAAACCACCACCAAGGCTTAAATAGCCACCAAGGCTTAAATAGCCACCAAGGCTTAAACCACCACCAAGGCTTAAATAGCCACCAAGGCTTAATCTACCACCAAGGCTTAAATAGCCACCAAGGCTTAAATAGCCACCAAAGCTTAAATAGCCACCAAGGCTTAAACCACCACCAAGGCTTAAATAGCCACCAAGGCTTAAATAGCCACCAAAGCTTAAATAGCCACCAAGGCTTAAACCACCACCAAGGCTTAAATAGCCACCAAGGCTTAAATAGCCACCAAGGCTTAAATAGCCACCAAGGCTTAAACCACCACCAAGGCTTAAACCACCACCAAGTCTCAAATAGCCACCAAGGCTTAAACCACCGCCAAGGCCTAAACCACCACCAAGGCCTAAACCACCACCAAGGCCTAAACCAACACCAAGGCTTAAACCACCACCAAGGCTTAAACCACCACCAAGGCTTAAACCACCACCAAGGCTTAAACCACCACCAAGTCTCAAATAGCCACCAAGGCTTAAATAGCCACCAAAGCTTAAATAGCCACCAAGGCTTAAACCACCACCAAGGCTTAAATAGCCACCAAGGCTTAAATAGCCACCAAGGCTTAAATAGCCACCAAGGCTTAAACCACCACCAAGGCCTAAACCACCACCAAGGCCTAAACCACCACCAAGGCTTAAACCACCACCAAGGCCTAAACCACCACCAAGGCTTAAAACACCACCAAGGCTTAAACCACCACCAAGGCTTAAACCACCACCAAGTCTCAAATAGCCACTAAGGCTTAAACCACCACCAAGTCTCAAATAGCCACCAAGGCTTAAACAGCCACCAAGGCTTAAATCACCATCAAGGCCTAAACAGCCACTAAAGCTTAAACCACCACCAAGTCTCAAACAGCCACTAAGGCTTAAACCACCACTAAATCTTTAAAAGCCACCAAGGCTTAAATCACCACCAAGGCTTAAACAGCCACTAAGGCTTAAACCACCATCAAGGCCTAAATAGCCACCAAGGCCTAAACCACCACTAAGGCGTAAAAAGGCATCAAGGCTTAACCACCACTAAGGCTTAAATAGCCACAAAGGCTTAAACCACAACTAAGGCTTAAATAGCCACTAAGGCTCAACCACCACTAAGGCTTAAATAGCCACCAAGGCTTAAACCATCACACATAGATTTCACGGCAGCGCCATTAGGCTACTTTTTTTCGATTTCCAACTGTCATTGGGATTTTTTACGTGCGTAACAATGCACACGGTCGTCGATCTCACTACCCAGAGACCAGGAGGAATTACTAAAAGTATAAGTCCACTTGAAAAAATCCCAGCCCTTACCGGGGATTGAACCCGGAATCTTTAGCACTCGAAGCGGAGACCATGCCTGGAAACCACGCAGCCTCCCTTTTCAATTATAAATAACCCCCAATCGCACAGCCTCAACTAAGAACCCTGCTCACCACGATCTCGAACTGATTACATAATAAAAAGTCAGGGTACTATATGTTTGCTACTTAAACACCCTAACATAACATCGAAAAGACGTCACCTTGGTATCGAGCCACCACAGTCCTAAATCACCACCTTAATCCGTCGAGCCGTTACAAAGCCATACAGCCGCCACAAAAACCACCGAGCCGTCACTAAAATGACACAAGCCCTCAAAAAAATACCGTGTTTTGGCTTTTCTTTCTATACTTGGTTTAATCCAGAAATGATATGTATTATCTGCACCTTGTGCTATCAGTTCCCCACCCAGTGGTTTAGTACCAGCCAATCTGTCTGTCTCTTCATTTACCAAAACAACGTCATAGCTAGAGATATATAGAAAGGGTGTGAGCTACCGAGGATCTCTAAAATGATGTTGGCCGGCCTAAAGGCAGCATCTTCTTTCTATGAGTGCCGATCAATACACTTTCTGTTACCGGATTAATTCTTATTTCGAAGACAGAGTGTTTCAGCCTGAGATGCAAGAAACTAACAAGCTGGATATCGAATAAAAAAAGTCACAAATGTGACATGGATGCGCACGCAAAACGCATGCTCTAGAACAAGACCAAAGTCCATAGGTGGATGATCTACCAGAACTTTCAACAACAAATTGGTGAATGCTAACATTGAAAAGAAGGAAAAACAAGGCATTCCATTCTCTATCGTTGCCAGCATGCTTTGTGAGTCTGTCACAGTTACAACCACCGTGTGTGTGTGTGTGTGTGTGTGTGTGTAGGCGGGTGGGTGGCTAGCTGGTTGGACGGGCGGGGGCGGAGGGGGGGGGGGCGTTTGCGGGTGTTTGTGTGCAGCTGGTACTCAAACTCTTCATAGCTGGTTGCAGAGCCGTTTGTCTGGTACTCTAGGCCTCGTGGGTTTAGCAAACTCCGTTGTTCAGTTCATAAGGGAAATTTAGTACAGAGATCTCTGGAGATCGTCGATGGAATTTAAGTGTTCGTATTTTTTGTGATACTGTCGGCATGTTGCTATAACAGGTGCTCTTTTCAACCATCTAAATATCTTAGACCAATTTGTGACCATCGTCAACATCGTCATTTCATGATGACGTTCAACCCCACCAGGACATCCCATTGAGCGTTAACGCAGTCGATAGGAGACTCGATTTCAAATCCAGCTGCGACTCGCTGCAGCCCAGGGCCGGTGTTCGATACCAGGCAGTTCCCGAGGTTCACCCAGCCTCTAAGAAATGGATACCAGAGTTTAACACTATGCGGTAAATAAAGGAACGTCGCAGTAGCTACGGAGTTACGTGCAGACGGCGACACAGGCGGATAGTTTTTTATCAGCTGTCCGTACTGGTGGCAGAGCACTTATGGTTAAAAAATGTGTGCAATGACGCTGGTTCACATATCCCGACTTTACCTATTTTTTTTTTAAACTGAGCAATAAACACCCGGTGACACAAAGTGTCCCATTCTGATAAGGATCACCCGGAGATAGGTCCCAGAAACCCCGTACAATCCCTAGGTTGGGTTGATGATAACGGATAGACTGTGACGGTAGCACGGAGTATTTCACCGGTGGAGCTGAATCAGAGGACGAAGGACCGACTTCAGTGCAGATGCATGAACGCCTACGCCAGTCGACAGGGTATGTGATGATGATCATTCCGTGATATTCTTTACATTCTTATCAAAAGCGAGATCTCCGCTGCGGGTTCCCCCCCCCCCCCCCTTTTTGTCTGCTTATTGTCAACGCCTTACAGTCATACAACAGCACACATCTTCTATGTTTATAATCCACTCAGTGCGGCATTGGTCTTCGTGTCTATCGATAACTTTCTATCTCCTGTTTTTTCAGTCAGTTCTGATACAGATAATTGTCCATGCATTGATGTCAAACTCTTCTGCATCCTCTCTCTCTCTCTCTCTCTCTCTCTCTCTCTCTCTCTCTCTCTCTCTCTCTCTCTCTCTCTCTCTCTCTCTTTCTCTTCCCCCCCCCTACCTCCAGCTTTCCCGTAGACACGAAGTACGCCAGCTTTCTCATGACATAAACCAAATAAAGTAGATTCCTTTTTATGTTGGCAATAATCTCTCTTCGTCACATGTTCTCTATAGCGTTGTCACACTTTCTTTCTCACTACAATTAATACTAAATAATTACTGTATAGAACATGAATGACGAGAATGCTTACATTCACATGTGCTGCCTTGAAGCCCTGCAGCACATTTCAAACAAGCACCAGTCACCTCATGACATACACGTTTTAAACATTTATCTGAACAGACACGATTGCAGTTCATTCCGTATCTTCCACTAACACATTCTGAAACAGCAGAGAAACAATTAATTAATTAATTAAACATTTAATCAAACTGCACATCCTTCACACAAAAAGGAGCCGCCATGGTTTAGCCGATGGACGCTCGCTTGTGGATCCGAAGGTCGCGGGGTTCAAATCTGAAAGGTGTTGGACTTTCATCCAAATTGACCTTGGCTCCCTCATCGACCGAGGGTTAAATGGATACCAGGTGAATGTTGTGGGACATAAAGCAAGCCAGCGTGATCCTGACCATGTCACTCACCAAGTGCCGAGTGGTCTGTAAAATATTGGTCTAGCCCTATATGCCCAGTACACCTGAAGACGTGAAAACGGGTGCTTTGCATTACATTTTTATTCTTCGCAAAATAAAAGCATTTTTAAGGTTTTATAAAGGCACTGTTACGTCCAGTCGTCTACCATTGCTAACAAATGGTCGGCTCTTTGTACCAGTGTTGATATCAACTCAAAACTGCCTGCTTTCAAATTGTCCTCATCTGAATCGTAATGGGAACTTCGAAATTACGAAGCGCGTTGCATGATGATGATGATGATGATGATGATTATACATTTTATGTTTCTGAAAGGGTCGCTATCCGACAGCGTCAATCGGTTCCCGAATGCATTTTTTTGGGGAGATCCCGAGGATCGTCGGGGGAGATAGGACGTTAGTGCTTTATTTGATGATCCAGGCAGAATTTATGTTTCTCTGGGCCAGAGACATGAGATAAAACAGACAGGTGGACGGACGGTCAGATAGAGGGAGGGGCAGATGGACGAGTGGACGAGATTATGGACGAAATGGGTGAGTTGATGGATATATGGATAGATGAATGTATGGATGGAAGGGTGGATGTATGGATGGATAAATAGGTAGACCGATGGATGGACGGGAGGATAGATAATCGGGCGAACTGACACATGGATGGCAGATATACTGACAGGTGGATGAAATGAATGGCTAGATAATACTAACCTGAGCATGTGGTTCCTTTATAGTTAGGACTACAAGTGTAACATGTGCCAGATATACGGTCACACGTGCTTCCATTGCAGTTCACCGGACATATGCCGCTACAGTTGTTACCGAATGTTCCACGCGGACACTCTGTAATGAATTCAAACAAAGAAGACACAAAGAGTAGATTGCACAATTTAATGCGCAACACATTTCGCTGTATCTCGCCAGGCGCATACTGCAGTAATAATTATTCAACACAAAACAAATAACTAAATGCTTCTGAGTGATGCACAAAGTCGACTGTATTCGAAAAGTGCTTGGCTCCGCCAGGATCTGAACCCACGATATTCAGATCTGCAAATGAGTGTCAAGCCGCTACCTCACGGCGGCTCCTGTGGAAAGACGTGACTGACATACATCAAGCATGGCTTCCCGGCATGGTCCTAAGGCACCGACCTGCGTGGCCAATAGTAGGGGATATATTTAAAATGTGTATGTCAGCGAGTAGGATCTATGAGCGAAGGAGATTTGAACATTTGCACTCATGTGTTAGGAAATTCAATGGAAGGAAAATTAAACGTATGTGGTTATACAGTAGGGTTCTCATCCGACGGACGTTTAAATCACGACTGGCTCTAGCTGACAGTTCGTGCTGCTGACGTCACAAGGCACGGCTAACGATGCGTTAAGGCCGAGGTACCATGGGGTGCCGTGAGCGCATGCCAAGAGTGCAGCGGCAAAAATCAAGAAAAGTCAACTAAAAAATTGTGAAATTATTAAAGAAGGTATGCAGATATTTAAAAGTTAAAATTTAAGTTGTCTTCCCTCGCCAGTGTTGAAAACAGTTTATTTCTTGTTTAAGAACCGCTGCGAGCTGGTCGTGTTTGAACCATGGGTTTCTTATAGTAGGACTTTCAGTCGATAGGCATTTGAACCCGAATTCGATATTGGGTAGGATATTCGGCCAGCAGACTTTACTTACGTTGAAATTTCTCAATGTACGAAGTCACCCCTGCTTTTGGTGTGGCTGAAGAGTGCCTGAGGATCTCTGGACACCGCACCTATGTGAGCCACCAACTCCGAGATCCCCTACCAGCTCGGTTGAGGCCGATGAGGGCCATTATCCACCCGACGAGGTCGTGTCGCAAAAGTCTTTCGTGAGGATCTCTAAAAACCAGCACAGAGCCGGCTGACGCTTGAGGTTAGGTATTGAGTATCTCCTTATGCATGTAACATCTGCTTTCACTTTTCACTCGTGACTGTGACCGAATGATTGCCCTACAAGACGATATAAAGTAATAAGCTGAAGCGACGGAATACTGGACAGAGAAATTAGCTCGAGATGTGCCAAAGCTAATCAAGTAATGGGGCAACTATCTCCCCCTGTTGACACACAAGCAGATACCCTGGAGTACTGAACTATTTTTTGGCCAACAATATGCTATCATTGCCAAAGGTGGACACTTACATCCTCCAATGAAAGTAAAATTGTGACAAAAGAATTAAATAAATGCATTACCTGAGCTGCAAGAGTTTCAAGGAAAGACAGAATACGAAATCACGAAATCAGAGGAATGCTAGGAATAAAGCCAGTAGTACAAGTCATCAAAGAGCAACAAAAGAAGTGGTTTGGACACCTAACAAAAATGCCCTGGTACTATCATCCACAGCAAGCCACACTAAAACGTTAACACGGGTATGGAGTGATTGAAATATGGAATGATGGCATCAAGAACAGCCTTACAGAAATAAACATTAGTCTTAACAGTGCTCTTGACAGAGCTCATCAACGAATGTTACACTTCCCCCCGACACTTTGCTGATATACAAGGTGGAAGAGAAGAAGAAGAAAAAGATGAAGAAGAAGATGAAGAAGAAGAAGAAGCTGAAGTGGAACAAGTGCTAAACTATAGCAAGAGACAACAATTAAATTTTTTCAATGTCGCCCTAACCTTAGTAAAAGTATGACTATTCGTGTCTTGGTTAAATTAATTATGAAGCTTTTACAATATTTCAGTGCGCCCCTGTAAAGAGGTCGCGGCTCCCCGGGCGCTCTGGCGCACAGTTTTAGAACACTGGTTTAGACATTTTCACGTACCTTCAGGGGAGTTGCCGTGGGGTAGCGGCTAGACGTTCGTGTGAGGATCAGAAGGTGGTGTGTTTGCTCCCTGGCGGAGCCGGACTTTTTTCAACAATGACCCAGACTCCCAGGTCGACCCAGCATTGCCTAAAGGCGTGGAAAAGAGACCTTTTCTTTACTTAACTTACGTACCTTCACATGCAGGTCCTCCACGCCCCGTAGGACATCTGTCACAGGTTCCAGTAATGTAATGACACTCATACCCAGCGCATCGAGCCGAGCACGCTTGAGAACAGTTGATTCCATATACCACCTTAGGACATACTGAAATGAGAGGGCACTGATGTAAGCATAATCAAAGTAATTGATTGCCACCTTTCCGTCTTTCCAGGCGATAGCGTTATATTGCGCTATGAGGAGGCATGTCGATGGCAAGTGTGACTAGCAAGACCCGTGTCAAGAAACGTCTTCCACGATGATAGCATGGGATTTCAGGACCGCTGTTGTCAACATTTGTGTTTAGTCCGTTTTTTTTTTTCCAGACGCTCCCCTCTCACCCTTTGTGCAGTCATTTCTTCCTTCACTCTCATTCCCTTCCTGATATGCCCTTTCCACACAAAACCGTCCATGGCATTTTGTTCCCATGAGTCCACCTCAATACCTGTATCATTCCTGTCCTGCTTGCACACATCATTATACAGTAGTAGAGGTCAGCCTCGACATCTTCTTCCTGCCTTCAATTCACCATACAGGATGCCCCTAGGTATATGCCATCCTCCATTCTCCAGGCGTGACCCAGCCACCTAAGCTTTCGTAAACTGAGCATGGAAAAGACTGTTGTAGTCAAAGCAAGGACTTGTTAAATCCACCAGGCTTTTAATAGAACAGTGATGAGCAATATAAGACTTTTAATGTCTGTAAGCTCCTCTAGCTCAAGTCT